TAAGACTATGTAGTGAATCACAAGTTCCCTACATTGACAAATCATCTGACAGAGAATGGGAATTTAGATGATATAACCAAGTTTTAAGAAGTGAAATACATTTATCTAGCAATATACAAATACATACATATATATATACATCACTCTAAATTAAGAATGAGAATGTGAGAATTAGTAGTGAGAATATCATTCTCTTACCTATAAAAGGGAGCCAGCACCAGTATACGTCTTCCCCTCACAATGTTCAGAAGCAAAAGAGAATGACCACATGTTTGCAATGTCCAGATAAGCGGACTAAAGATAACATTCCAAGGAGAGAGGTGGTCAGAGAAGAGAGAGTGGAGGATAGAGAAGCCTATAGGGTTATGTGCATAACAGGTGTATATCCCCACACAGTAGAGAGAGGGGAAAGGAATCGGAGAAAATGAGAGAGAGAGAGGGGCAACTGTAGTTAAATGAATCAATGCTGAGGGAATGATGGCCATACTATATAGTCACACTTTATGGGTGTTACACTCTCCCCCTCCAACCTTTCACCGTCCCGGTGAGATATAGACCAAAGAAAAACAAGAATTTAGTTCAACAAAATATTGTTGTAGTTTTTTCTTACTCTTCCTTTATATACAGTTATCAATGTCCTAATAACCTCTGCCTAACATAACTGAAAATCCCTTTACGTTTCGGCTTAGCATCAACGGATAGATTAAACGGTTCACCCGGGTTATAGTAATTCAGCCTCGTTGGTGCTATGGAAGGCCTAGTTGACTTTCTCAAGTCACTATGTACAGAGTGCGTTGGTGAAGGAGAGTCAAGGTTCTCACTGATGTCTTCATGGCTCGGATTACCCTCTGCGTGGTGGTCACGTGAGGCTGGGTCGGGGACAACAGAGTTCGTCTGTTCAGCTGTTTCGTTAGAGACTGGAGAGTCGGGTGTGTTTGGAGCTTCTCCAAAAGTAGAAGAATTTGCCTCTTCAGGTACTCGATCTGAAGAAAAGGATTCAATATATTCAGAAGCTTCAGTGGAGGGAGACGCTTCTACCTCTTCTTGAGAAGGCTGGGAGTCCGGAGAGCTGATAATCTCAGGAGCTGTCTCTTCTACCTCTACAGCTGGCATGTTATCCACATCAATATCCCTCTCAACAGATGCTTCATCGATCTCCTGTGGACCATCAAGGTGCAGCTGTCTAAAATCCTCTATATGGGGAACAGTAGTGTTCTCAATCTCATCGTTCTGTACCTGATTACTAGGCGTGAATTCCTGTGCTTCAGGCCTGAGGTTATTCGCTAACTGCTCTGTACTGCCAGTCAATACATCGTGGATAGTGTCTACTTCAGCTACAGGTTGTGGATCCAAAGGTGTCTGGTCCTGACGAGAGGGTTCTGGTAGATAATGGAGAACAGAAAAACCATCACTATCGGAATCACTGGTCACATAGCTAGAGGTTTGTGAACCTTTCCGAATGGGCCGGCCTTTCTTTCTCAAGCGCTTAGGGACTGATCGGGGTGGTAGAGGATCAATATGTTGTTCTTCCACCTGTGGCTCAGGTCGTCCTATGGGGAGGAGTAGATTACGGTGCAGCGTCGAGACTCTACCACCAGATTCTGATTTGACGTTATACACTGGAAGAGAGATGTCGTTTTGGCCTACCACCATATATGGTTCAGCCTTCCACCGATCCGCAAGTTTGTGGGGGCCTTTCAATCCGAAATTCTTCACGAGCACCCGGTCACCAGTGTGGAGTTCTCTGCCCCGCACTTTCAAGTCATACCGCTGCTTATTTGTGGTTGCTGCCTTCTGTGACGCTGTCTTGGCGGCTTGGAAAGCCTGCTTAAGTCCTGCCCTCAACTTTGATACATATTTGACATGATCTATGGCGTGACAGCCATCTGGGCGAGTATCAAACTCCACATCTATCGCCAACCGAGCCTCCCTTCCAAACATCAGGTAGTATGGGCTGTAACCAGTGCTGTCCGTCTTGGTGGAGTTATATGCATGGACCAATGATGCCACATGTTGGCTCCAGTTTACCTTTTCTTCATGCTTGAGTGTGCCAAGCATATTCAGTAATGTCCGGTTAAAGCGTTCTGGCTGGGGGTCTCCTTGGGGGTGATACGGAGTAGTGCGGGATTTCTTGATGTTGAGAAGCTTGGTCAGCTCTTTAATCACTTTTCCCTCGAACTCTCGTCCTTGATCAGAATGGAGTCTTTGCGGCAGGCCATAGTGGACGAAATACTTTTCCCATAGCACTCGAGCGACTGTTCGCGCTGTCTGATCCTTGGTTGGGAATGCCTGGGCGTACCTCGTAAAATGGTCGGTGACCACTAGAATAGATTTGAAACCCCTGGCGTCTATCTCCAGTCCAAGAAAATCCATACACACCAGCTCCATAGGTTGGGTGGTTTGTATGCTGTGAAGTGGGGCGCTCCGTGTGGGGAGGGTCTTGCGGGCTTGACATCTCCTGCAGTTCCCAACCCATCGTTCAATATCTTGTGCCATCTTAGGCCAAAAAAATCTGGCACGAACGAGGGAGGATGTTTTGTCACTTCCAAGGTGTCCATGTTGGTCATGCAGGCTCCGTAGTGCATCTTGTCGATGAGACGTTGGTAAGACGAGTTGAAATATCGTCCTCCCGTCCCGGGCTTTCGACACTCTGTGCAGCACGCCCCGAATGAGTTTGAGCTTTGGGAACTCTCGAACAAGAATTCTCTCATCGGATGATTTGGGGGTGCGTCTATTCGGCTTTCTACCACTCTGAACCCAATATTTTGCTGCTTTGATTGCTGGGTCAGCGTCTTGTGCACCGGTCCAGTTAACCTGGTTTGCCATACTGCTAACCTTTGGGAATTCATATTCATCTGGCACTGCTTCTGCGCTCATGGACAGGCAAGATACCAAGGCTTCAGGACTTGAATGGGAAACTCTTGATTTCGTGGCTGCAGACACTGACATCAAGACTGAGTTGGTAGCTTCGAGATCAATGATTTGGTCTGGCTCACCTAGATCCTCTTTGAGTCGTGCTGTCAGATATCTCAGGTCTGGATATTCTTTAGGTTGTCTGGGTTCAGGTAGTCGAGATAAGGCATCAGCATTGGCGTTTGCTCGGCCTGGGCGGTAGTGGATGCTGATATCAAAATTTGCTAGTTGTGATACCCAGCGGTGTCCAGTGGCGTCAAGTTTGGCTGACGTAAGGACGTAGGTCAGCGGATTGTTGTCTGTAAACACCTTGGTTCCCTTGGCCATGTACAAGTAATCGTTGAATTGTTCAGTTACCGCCCACTTCAGTGCGAGGAATTCTAACTTGTGGGCCGGGTAGTTCCGCTCAGATTTGGAGAGACCTCGACTAGCATAGGCTACAGGACGCAGTTGACCATCACAGTCCTGGCAAAGGACTGCCCCAAGTCCGTCTCCACTTGCATCCAACTGCAGGACGAATGGCTTCTGCAAGTCTGCAAATGCCAGCACTGGGGCGCTTGATAAGGAATCTTTCAACTGATTGAAGGCACTGGTGCACTCTGTTGTCCACTTATCTCCTAATGGCTCTGATGGTCTGAATTTCCCTTTCGTCGGCTGGCCCTTCTTTGCAACTCCTGCAGTCAAGGAATGCAGTGGTCGAGCAATCTTGGAATAGCCCTTGACAAATCTCCGGTAATAGCCTGTAAAGCCGAGGAAAGATCGCAGTTCCTTCACAGTAGTTGGAGTTGGCCAATCTTTGAGTGCCGCTGTTTTGCTTGTGTCTGTCTTGACACCCTCATCAGAGACGACATGTCCCAAGTACTTGACTGAGTTACAGCAAAGCTGACACTTCTCTGGAGATACTTTGAGTCCATATGAAATGAGACGGTCTAGGACTTTCATGAGGCGTGTAGTCATCTCCTCTAGTGTCTTTCCGAATACGATGATATCATCCATGTATACCAGGGCTTCCTTGAGGTGTATTCCAGTCATGCACTGCTCCATGAGTCTCTGGAATGTGGCTGGTGCTCCCTTGACTCCTTGTGGCATCCGTTCAAATTGATAGAAGCCTACCGGGCAGATGAAGGCAGTTTTCTCCTTATCTTGGTCAGCCATAGGAATCTGGTAGTACCCTGACTTCAAATCAAGCACGGAAAACCACTTATTACCACTCAAGGCATCTATTGCTTCTTGGATGAGTGGTACAACGTATTGGTCGGGTACGGTTCTCGCATTCAGTTTCCGGTAGTCTATGCAGAGGCGCAACTTCCCCGTCTTTTTCCTGACAAGGACAATTGGGGATGCGTAACGACTACGAGACTCTTTTATGATGCCAGCTTCTAAGAGTTCTTGAAGATGCTCCCTCAGGTCTTCAAGGTCGGCAGGGGACACTCTTCTGGATCTCTCCCTAAATGGCGTCTCATCGGTCATTCGTATCTCATGGTAGATCTTGTCTGTCTTACCCATGTTTAGGGGATCATGACAGAACACTGCAGACTTGTCTTGTAATATGTTCAGGAGCTGCTGCTTATCCTCTGGAGATATGGGACCCCATGTCAAAGGCAAGCTTGCCACATCAACATCATTTTTGGCGATTTTATTGTATATGGCTGAACAGATGGGATTTATCGAGTCAGTTGGTTTCCTCTTGTATGTATGGTAGCATTGGCGGAACACTCCAGAGTTGGTTCCCACAACAACAGGATGGTCTTTGGTGTTCCGATTATCTGGGATGACTAGGGCTAGTGTAGAGAATGGCTTGTCGGTGCCGGTGAATTCTAACTCAAAACTGATATCTATTTGAGTATACCCAATATACGGTATTTGGCCTCCACCACCGTGCCACAAGACCAGGTCCTTGAGAGGGTGAATGTACTTCTCCAACTTCTTACACAGGCTTTCTGGTATGAGGGTGACTTGCGATCCACTGTCTAGCAAGCATTGTAAAGGGTGGTTGTCCACAAAACAGGGGTAGGAAGCACTTTCCCCAACCAGACCACTCGGAATGTCATTTCCTGTATCCTCCCTTGCAGGCTCATGTTGGCTGCTCATTGACGTGGCGGGTATGTCTTGTTTGGAGCTTGAGTGGACTCGGGCCCCAGACGGCTCCGTCTCTGGTACCCAAAGGCGTTTCCCTGACTGAGACAACCGATCAGCTTCTGGTTGACTGCAGCCAGGTTAGGGGGGTTTGGACACTTCCTGCGAAAATGCCCGTCTTCCCCACACTTGTAGCAGAAGTTAGGATGTTTGTTTGTGTCTGGGGTTTGGAAGGCATTCACAACTACCGGGTCCTGAGATGTCGCCCCCCTGTCCCTCATCTGTTGCTCCAGCCTTGCAAGCCGCACCTCCATGGCATTTGATGGTTCTGTAGGGCTTTCCACTACTGCTTGGAGACTTCTCCCTTTGACGGGTCTCCTCTGTCTCTTCTCTGCGACCTCCACTTCATATCGCCTCACCTGGCTTAGAAGGGTGATGAAGGAGGGTGGGTCATGTAAGAGATCCCTAAGCCTTAAACTCACTAGGAGCATCTCATCATAGAGACTCCGGATGAACTTCTGCAGCCGGAGGTAGTCTGCCCTGTCCGGAGGCGCTCCTCCCTTTCGTACTGCCCGTCTCAGGGTAGAGTTCAACCGCATGATGAACTCTGAGGGTTTCTCCTGATCATGCTGCGCCATGTCGTGAAACTTAAGAAGTATCTCCTCCCCGCTCTCGGTGGTGCCGAATGCAGCTTCAAGGGCTGATATATAGTCCTCTGCGGATGCCTGCAGCTTGCTTAGCTTCAGATCCCTCACAATGGTTGATGCAGGGGGTCTGAGGGCTTCGCTAATTCGCCGCCGCTTTTCTACCTCTTCAAGGCCGGCTGCTGTCCACTCCTGCAGCTGCCCTTCTGCCTGATCAACCCACAGGTCGAAACCATCTTCGTCACGCGATGGCGAGAGAGATCCTGAGAAAGGCCTCAGCTTTCTGTAATTTGAGTGGAGGCTCATGTTGAAAAAGTCTTTCATCAGGCGATGATCTTGCCCTTCCCGAGGCCTTGTTCCTGGCTGGTGGGAGAACTCTGGGACTCGCGATCGAGTTGCACTCCTCTTTTCTCTAGCTTCTACTAGTGTTACTCTTCGCCTTGTCTGTTTTGTTTGATGAGCTAGCAACACTAGATGAAAGGGCGTGAGGGTTCCTCTTATGGGCACATGTATGTCTTGGTCGCGTAGGGTGACCAGTGAAACCTTCTGGTCCAGCTCCAGAAGTAGGGCGATAGAGGGTGACTTGCAGTGAGGCTGTCGTTCTAGCACCGCTGCACTCTGCACACAGTTCACTACTTCAGAAATAGCACATAATAACTCATCAACATCAACAGTAGTATCATCCACCTCATCCCCAATGAGGAGGACTGCCATATCTAAGGCAATATCCTCTTTCTTGCATAGGGCCCTAGCTGGCTCTAACAAGTTTGCTTTATATTCGGCCATTATATACTACAAAATAACCTTCACTGGTACTGGCTCCCGAAAACAAGTGAAATAAAAAATTGCATGTAAAATTGAACGAAAAAAATAATTTAGCTTATAAACATTGAGTAACTGTATTATTCAAAGCATAAGTCCTGGCAAGGTCGCCATTTGTAACACCAGGTTCGTGCTTCAATATCATGCATACAGTCAACAAAGGAATATAAAGACAATAGTAATTGATTTACTGTTTCACCTTTAATCTGCTTATCCGAAGGGTGGATAAAGCTAAGGCATGAGATATACTTTTACAGATAATCAAATAAACAAACATAATATACTTAAGGGCCCACTACGATTTATATTAATAAGACCGGTCGTTTATAAAGAAGAAGAAGATTGTCCGCTCATCAACGAATATGGTACGTTGCTATCAAACGCGTATTGTTGGAGAACAATAATTAATTCAGGATAGCGTTCCCTATATGATCATTGCTGCATAGCGTTCATATAAGTCGATTTAAATATGGAGGCTGTTATCCAATGGACAGGGTTGACATGGGATGGAGTTGCGTGATCTCATCAAGAAAGCCGAAGATTCGTTTCTCCGCAGTGAAGGGCTATAAAAGGGAGGTTAATAAAACAAAGCAAGTATACTGGGCATACATTAATATAACAAAACCACATAACAACTGAACTGGACAGAGATACCCTTTTATGACGTTGACGCCCTCAGTAGCAGGCTGACTACCGATTTGACCAGACCAACGCCAGAATTCACATATTAGTTTGGATAATAACAATATGTAAAAGAGACATAATAATGTAACAACAAAACATAAACTAATCTCTTTCCAATTCAGTGTTTCACAAGAGTGGCAAACAATGCATTAATTGTTCAAAGGCAATCGCATAATAAGGCGAAACATAGTTAATAAACATAGTCAAAGATATAAGAGAAAGCAATATATGAAGAGTATAAAATTCCTCTCAAGCAGAAGCATGTAGTATAGTACATGTACATGTACTAAAACAATCAGATCCTTTCTTTACACAGACTTTTCCTTCTGTGTCCTACTGACCAACTGGCATCTAGTCTAGGTCGTTCAGACCCTGTATGCCTAGCTTCTCCAAATCAGGATAATTATATCTAATACTGTATTAACAAGGGCTGCTCTTAACAAACAGTTATGTACGTATAATACAACTATACTCCACAGGAGATGTACTATTATGCCCATGCATTGACCGACATAACTCTCACTCAAGAGACTATAAACAAGGTAATAAACAGGTCTTCAGAGAATGTGCTAAGACTATGTAGTGAATCACAAGTTCCCTACATTGACAAATCATCTGACAGAGAATGGGAATTTAGATGATATAACCAAGTTTTAAGAAGTGAAATACATTTATCTAGCAATATACAAATACATACATATATATATACATCACTCTAAATTAAGAATGAGAATGTGAGAATTAGTAGTGAGAATATCATTCTCTTACCTATAAAAGGGAGCCAGCACCAGTATACGTCTTCCCCTCACAATGTTCAGAAGCAAAAGAGAATGACCACATGTTTGCAATGTCCAGATAAGCGGACTAAAGATAACATTCCAAGGAGAGAGGTGGTCAGAGAAGAGAGAGTGGAGGATAGAGAAGCCTATAGGGTTATGTGCATAACAGGTGTATATCCCCACACAGTAGAGAGAGGGGAAAGGAATCGGAGAAAATGAGAGAGAGAGAGGGGCAACTGTAGTTAAATGAATCAATGCTGAGGGAATGATGGCCATACTATATAGTCACACTTTATGGGTGTTACATATAGATGAAACATAATGAAGAGAGAGAGAGAGAGTGACTGGAGGGGAAAGAGGGGAGACTGTATACCCCCACCATCTTCTAAACACACCTCTCTCTCTCTCTCTCTCTCTCTCTATCCCCCTCCCTTCTGCTCTCTCTCTCTCTCTCACTATCTATCTATCCCTATCTATCTATCCGGCTGGCTGGCTGTCTGTCTCTCCCTTCATATCTTTCTCACTCTTATCTCCATCATCTCTATCTCCGTCTTCCTCTGTGTCTTACTCAATTGAATTTACTTTTTTTTTCAAATGTCTTGTCAATTTGCACCTTTAGTGTATGAATGTAAGAAATTGTAATCATTCAATGTACTTAAAAAGTAATAATTTTTGTTATTTTGAAAAACATTTATATTACAGGTTTATTCCTATCGCTTTTTAAAATTATTTTACTCTATAATGTAAATATTTTGTACTATTTAATTAGCAAATAAATTTGTACAATGTTTTGCAATAGTTTGGACAATAAAATTCATTTAAAAAAGAACTGCTTAGAGACTTACAAGTTTGCTGAAAACAATGGTCAGGTTAGGTTTGTGTTACATCACTGCTATTCTTGTCAAGATAGTTGCAAAGTTTTGTATATTTGATCAATTCTAACTGGCATCCCTGATAAAGATATTCTGTTGTGTGAAGTGTTTAATTTTGAAATAACAATTCATTGTCTTGTGCATTGCAGGTCTTTTGAGGATGACATTCGAGAGCTGGAAGCCACCCCAGTCACTAAATCTCCCTCTAAATCCAGAAAAAGGAAGAAAAGGGACTTTGCTTCCTCTGATGTCGAGCAACTAGATGACAATACCAAATCCCGTAGTAAGTCTATTTAATTGGACCTATTTTTATTCATGTATTTCATCCACACAAATGAGATTTCCTGTGCCTTATTTTTATGTTATTTAAAGGGGTTTTACAATTATAGGATTCAAGATTATGCTATATCATGAACAGTCGACTAGATTTAAAATGGCTCATTATATACATGTACAAGAACTTTTTTCTTTTTTTGCACATTACTCTATGGTAGTTAATGATTGCTAATTGTCTGTTTTAATCATGGAATTTAGTGACTGGTTGAATAATGGTAAGGCAAGTGTTCCATCTATCTGGAGGGATGTGTGCATGTGGGTCAGGTCTCGGGGGGAGGGGGGGGGGGCTGTGTGGTTATAGATCACGTGCTCATCCCCTTTCCCCTTTTTTAAACTAAGTAAATTACATTCACTTCATGTACATACACTCATCACTTTTGAATGAACCAGAACAATAGATCTATCTAATGATTCTTCTATGAATTATGTCTTTCTTATCATTGTGGGGGTGTACATGTACACTGCTACTGTAACTCATAACTTGTTATTGATAATCTGTGTAGATTCCTTTGTGATGAAGCTATTCGATCGTAGTGTGGATCTGGCTAGTTTTCGTCCTAACGCACCTCTCTACCCTGTATGCCGTGCTTGGATGTCCAACTCCCCTACTGCAAAGATGCCCAGGAGAGACTTGTCACCATCCCCAGAACCTTTACCAGATTCAGACGTGGTAAGTAGCTGAAAAACAGAAGTTTAACAATATGGTGGACTTCTGGTAAAGTTGAGAAATTAATCGTGAATTAAAGTATCACTGTATTTCCCATTTCCTCTGTACAACGCAATCATTCTTTCCAAATTGCCTCCAGACAGCTTCTTTTACAATCTGACTGCATGATCAGAACTAAACTTTCTCATGGAATCTATGACACATGCTTCTTGTCACAATTGCCCTGTGGTCAATATCCTACATAACCACTTCCTAAATTCCATCCTAGACCATACACTGTACCTATCCCTTACCCTAATACTAACCCTAAACCTAACCGTAAATCCCAAGGACAGTCCCTACCCTTTAACTGTAGTAGAATAAATCCACAAGTAATGAATGAATGAATCCACAAGTTTGAATGTTAGGTTACAGCAGAATCATTTCAGGCAATCAAATTCTAAAATGCATTTCACATGAGTTTGGACTAAGAATCTTTGGGCCCATTCTACATTGGTTAACTCCAACTTTGATTCACATCTGTGGATGGTTATTTTTACCTCTCAGTCTGAGAATGGACTCATCTACAGATTGCCCTCTCCCGGTAAGACTTGCAGTGAGATGACAGAGGAGCTTTCCAGAGACCCAAGAATTCCATCCCCCGTACCACAGCCTGAAGAAACCTTAGACATACATGCGGTAAGTAAATGCCTCCACTTCTCTCTCATTCTCTCTCTCTCTCTCTCTCTCTCACTCACTCTGCCTCCTCACTCTTTCTCTCCTTCTCTTGTTGCTTTATTGTACACTTCACTCCCTCCCTCTCTCTCTCCCCCTACTCCCCCCCCCCCTCATCATCTCTCTCTTACTCTTTCTCCTCCCTCTCTATTTCCTCTCCCTCATTCTTTCACCCTCCTTCCCATCCTCACCCTTTATATCTCTCCCTCTTTCTAGATATTAATTTGAATTAGATGTGCATACAGATTATACTGTAATAGATAATCCACTTTTGGTACTAAATGTTGATTTGCTACCAATATTTAATCTGACATAACTTACGCACTCTGCTTGTAGTTATATGTGCTGTAGATGTTATGTACATGTTAGTCAGATATATCAATCTTTTTTCCTCTTTCCTCTCCTCACATTTTTGACAAGCATGACCAGATACATGTATTGTATACACGTGCATGTACACTGTAGATGACTTTTTAATCTGTTGTTTATCATCATCTCTTTTAATTCAATTTTGTTTTAAATGGTTGTTTTTTAATGATCCATTTCATCAATTGTCTTGTTTACATAGGATTCATCTCAAGCACCCTCCAAAGAAACGCTTCTCAATGGTCACTTACAGAGATGGAGAGTAATCAGAAATAAGTAAGTTTATCATTCTCTTTAAGGTTTGTGGTTTGGGACAATCAATGAGATCTATTAAAACAATCACCTTGTGGTATATCTCTATCACAAATGTGATTTTTACAGTGAAACCTCGTTATAACAAGGTCCTTGGGACCATGGAAACTACCTCGTTATATACCAGGGTAATAAAAAAGAATTTAAAGTGCTGGGACCAGTATCACAGAAACATCGTTCTATCAGCGCTTTTCTTAATGAGGTTCCACTGTAGTAGGTTATGATTTGCATAACTCAGAAAATAAGATACAAAAATTGTTTTACCTGAAGCTTTCAGTGTGCATTTTCAAACAAATTCATGCCCCCAAAGTTAGATATTACCTAAATTACATTAAATTACGATAATTCTTCTTCTGAAATGTTAGATGTCAGGTTACCAAGCAATGAAAGAAACCAAACTTATTGAAATTCAGAGGCTATACAAACACTAAATTGAATAGACCTTGAAAAGCTGACTCAGAGAAATTATGAACAAGATTTTATTTTCACATACCATGCTTTAAATAATAGATTGTCTGATTAATTTCTATCATTGAATGTATTTAATGTCCTGTGTATTTTTTAAGGAAAAACATGGAGAAAAAAACTTCTGAATCGGTTATGCTATTTTTTTCTCTCTCTGTCCATCTCTTTCTTTTGTGTATGTGTACATATTTGTTTCTTTGTATTCATGTATATCCCTCCCTCAACCCTACCCCTGCCCCTCCCCCACTCTGTCTCTGTCTGTGTCTGTCTCTCTGTCTGTCTGTCTCTCTCTCTCTCTCTCTCTCTCTCTATCCATCTCTCTATCGCTCTTTCATGCTCTTATTCTCTTTCTCTTTTATCATCCTCTCTTTTGCCATTTTGTTAACTTTCTCTTCCCTTCTCTCTCTCTCTCTCTCTCTCTCTCTCTCTCTTCCTTTATTCTGTATCACTGCAGATGGAAAGATGCATCTCAGTTGAACCAATCCAGATACAGTGAAAGTTACACTATTCTCAAGGCAATGTATGAACGACAGTAATATTGCGACTCCATTCGAAACAGGGCACCACATTGATTTATTATCTGACAATTGTATATCTAAATTTGTCACAATTGACTTACATGTACATACAGTGTGTATATGAAGGGATTTCTAACTACTGGTGTTGAGTGATATATCTCTCATCTATCAAAACATTTTACGATGCCTGTGTTTAGGAAGAGGAGGAGAGGACAATTGTGAGGAAAATTTTTTAGGATCTAAATGATTATGATTATAAATGTCAAGACAGTATTAGGATTACATAAAAAAGATATTACCCTTGGTATTTTTAAATAAGTAAACCCTAGGAAACTGACCACTGAAGAAAGTGTGTGGTATCAATGTAACACCAATTTGATCAAATTGTAGATTTGCATACCAGGGGAGTGTTTTACTAATACTAAGATAGACTTAAGTTGGGCTTGAACTATGGCAGGCTGTTCATGCCACTGGTTGCTCTCACCATTCCTGGCATTGGTCTTTCAAGGGACGTACAAATTAACTTTTTTTTTCTTCAACAATGAACTATCAAAAAATGTAAATTCTGTAGATTTGTGACGTCCCTTGAGAAACCAGTGGTGAGAGCAACCAGTGGCATGAATGGCCTGCCATAGTTCAAATCCAACTTAAGTTGATATTAGTCTTTTTGAAACACCCCCCTGTACAGTGAATTTGATGATTTGGTTTAATGAATTATGACACAAAAATAGCTAAGTGGATTATTCCCTCTAAAGGAAAATTATGCTGTTCTCAATCTTGACCATATTCTTCAAAGTATTGTAATTACAGTCCATGTACTTCACCTTGACTTTAAATGTTGTTTTGTCACAAGTAACTTTTAGACATGTTGGTTCACACATCAAGATAAGCCAGGTTCTATTTTAGAATAATGAATCTAATCTTCCAGCTTGATACCTGACAATAGACTGTACAACAAAATTACATTACCCCAAATGGCCAAGAAAAATATGGAATCTCTCGATATTTGATTAGCATGGTTACATTATCAATATATGTATTGCGTATTAGCTGATATCCCAGAATATCTGACATATATTTTCCAGGGTTACTTTAATTTAAATATCGTTCATTTATTGTGATGTATTACATGATGGAAAACAACATTCTTTATTCCTAAACTGCGATTATATGAATGGAAATTGGGCTATGAAAACTAACTGGTATAAATCATTAAAAATTAATATACATTTTAACAGCTCTATGTTAATATATTCAAGATATGAGCTCAAACTATTACATCTGTACCGAGCTGTTTACAAGTTTAAAAAACACTAAATTAACACAAAAAGATTTATGAATAGACTAGTCGATGCACATGTAGGGCTTCATTTAGGAACTGCATGGAACCCAAGTCTAGCGTTGATTCTGTGTCAACTCTTAACCAATAGAATGTCGGGTAAATATCTAGCTGTAAAGTAATTATTAGTTTTAGGTGATCGGTCTCCTTAAGTGGGGAAATCATGGAGTTGCTTGTTAATGAAGAAATCACCTTTTGGTGTTGATCAATTGTAAATATGTACATATAAATGTATGACTTGTAAACCTGTTAATTATAATATTCAATGGTAATTGAGACATTTTTAATTCTATAAATGTATGAAATATGAACTAAAATGTTGTTTTCCTCCTTTATTTACACTTTTGATCGGGACCAGTATATGTGATTATTATTTGCATGAAGGGTTTGGGCCAACCAGAAAAATCATTGTATCTTCTACAGTTTGATCATGCAATTTTAAAACCAAATCCCATGGTTTGGAAAGAGTGTAATGGTTTGCGTTGGTGTAAATACCAGATTGGTATGCAAGTGTAATTTGGGGGTAATAAAAGCATACTGTAGTCGTAATGAATGAAAATGGATGTTTATATTCAGTTGCTCTAAATAGAAAGAGAAGTAGATTGATATACTAGAGATTGGTGTTACAAACAGCTTCATGTCCTCGGTCTGATAAAACTGAAACAAACAAAACTTTAAATGAATTCAGAGACAGTGTTTTTGTTTTTTATAATACACCCTGTACATTTGCTATGTACAGTAAAATGAAGCACATGGACAATAAGCATCATAGTTTTACTTCAATTTATTTCACTACATTTTGATATTTGGGCCATCATTTCGAGGGCTGATGCATCACCCCATTGCCCAAGGCATAGAAAGAACAGATTGACAATGAGAAATTGACAGCATAATCATTTAGAATTCTGCTACAAATAACATTCTCAACAAAAGCAATCACAATATTTTGGGGAAAATGCGACATAATGATTTAGAATTCTACTACAAATGACATTCCTAACAAATGCGATCACAATATCTTATCCCGGGGCTGTAATCTTCCTGTATTTTTTTGTCGCCGTTGAACTGGTTAAAAGTCTGTTCTCATGGGGATATGCCCAGGTGCGGATCCAGGATTTCTTAGGTATGGGGGCCCAAATTTGAAATTTAGTGTGCTGAAATTTGAAAATCGTGCCGGCCAAGTGAGTGAGCACTAATTTTTTTTGTTTGGCTCTCGAAAATTTGAAAAATTGGACCCCTCCCCCCTAGAACACCAGGGGGGGGGGGGCATATCTAAAAAAAAAAGGTAAAATTAATGTGTTTTTACACGTTTTTTTCCCAGGGCGGAGCCCGCAGAAGCTCAGGGGTTTTATACATCAAATTATCGTTGGATGAACATAATTTTATACCTTATTTGTGACACTGGCAGGTCACAAATTGACGTGGGGTCCAGGGGGCAGAGCCCCCAGAAGCTCAGGGGTATTATACATTAAACTATTGTCAGATGTGCATATTTTATACCTTATTTATGACACTGGCAGGTCACAAATTGGTGTGGGGTCTAGGGGGCGGAGCCCCCGGAAGCTCAGGGGTTTTGGGCAATAAATAACGGTCAGATGAGCATGAACTTGATTAGGTTACCCGATTAGGTTAAAGGTCTCATTTTAATTTTGCTTTAAGATATTATACAGGTATTTTCATTGTCAGGGGCGGCCGAGTGACTTCCAAAGTTGGGGGGGGCACCAAGTAAAGGGGCACTTTCTGGAAAAATATAGACATTGGTATATACCCCTACATTGTGATTACATTATTAGGTATGATTTCAATATTTGTTTCACTTTATACAGCATACAAGATATTGCTTAAGCATTATGCTTTGCAATTGGGTGTGATGGTCTGCAAATTTATTTGCGAGCGAAGAAAATTGTTAAGATTTGTGAGATCCCAGTGCGAAAAATTACATCTTATAAAGAGGAAAAAACAATCCTTAAAGGGGTATAAGCACATTCTCATAACGGAAGACTGAAAAGACCTTTGATAAGTAACAAAAGTATATCATCTATAGATGCGTGCGAGCGTAGCAAGCGAGCTTTGGGGGAAATGCTCTTAGTCGCTTCAAATTAGGGACACGTTTAATGATGAGAGGAAAAGGGTACATTTATCAGAAAAGAAAAGGAGCACGTGTCGAAGTACAAAGAATAATTATCAGAGTTTAAAATGGGGCACTTCTTACACCCTCAAAAAGAGGCACTCACCAGGGATGAAAAAAAGTCTTAAGAATAGAAAATGGGCATTTGTCGACGGAAAAGGGGCCCCCATCAGATTTCGATAGGTATAAGAGGTGAAAAGGGGCATTTATGTGAATGAAAAAGGGGCACTTATAGTAAAGGAAAATGTGCGTTAGTTGAAAAAAATGGGACACCGATCAGATTTTAAAGGGGAATTTATCGGAGGTAATGGGGCACTTATTAAAAGAAAAAGGGGCACATGTGAAAATATAAGGTGCGCTTATCCAAGTTAAAATGGGGGTAGTTATTAAAAGGGAAATGGGCACTTGTCAAAGTAGAAGAGGCACCTCTCAGATTTGAATAGGCAATTGTCAGAGGAGTGAAGGGGGCAGTTATCAAAAGTGAAAAGAGGCACTTCTCGCCTGAAAAAGGTGCACTT